ATTCCTGCTCAGTGCTGAATACTCGTATTGCTTTCTTGCCATCTTCTACTCAATTCTCAGCACTTTTCCCTCCTCCCAGCTCTGCTTCATTTTTAAAAGCCTAAACCAGCATTATATTCATCAGACATGCCATCTGGGACCAGCGCTGTTCAAACCCAGAGGCATCCACGGGACTCGACACACCAGAGAGCAGCGAAAGCAAAAGTGTAAAGAAAAATCAGAAGTGAGATAAGGAGAACTGGCTGGGAGGCACCTGGCTAAACAAGCGCTGGGGAGAAGGGGAGAAAAGAACTCAAGTGTTGAAAGCCTATCACATTGGTAGCAAGTGGTCATCCCGTTCTTCTGACTCCTCACCCAGCTGGTCATCACCCACACCACGGTATGCAGCTGGTGCATTTCGAGGCTTAGATCGGCAGACAAAGTCACAGCCATCCTACAAGCACAAGATATTGCACCGGAATTAGACTGTATGCAATCCAAAGCAAAGCAGCTTCTGTAACTTTTCTTTTTCTAAGGGATTACACCTATCCTCGTGCTATCTGGGACAGGTCCCCATAACTTGTCAAGAGAAGCACACATACAAACATCCTATTCAATCTTGGAAGTTCTGGGGTAGAACGCGGTACTGATTAACAGTACGCAGCAACGTCAGGCTGAGACGAGCATGGAAGATAAATGACACTGCCTAAGGTGACTCAGGAAGGGCTTCAGGGAGTCGGACATGAACAATTCACAGTCCCCAGCTTAACAATCCTCTAATAAACATGTGTTCTAGTTTGTTATGTAGCAACCACAGGGTATCAGCAGGGAATCAGACTCAGCAAGGATTCAGAAATAGAGTACTCCAAAAAAACCCCAAACCCAACCCCCAAAAAAGCCACAAAACACCCCACCAGAAAGAAAACAAACCAACCCTCAAACCCAGATATCCTATTCTGCCTCAAGGTACACTACCCTGGTGGTAGGTCTAGCCAAGAGACATAGTCCACGAAGACAAAGCAGATGCCATTTGCTCCTGTTCTACCATATGGGCCAGGCTAGGAATACAGAGATTTTCACTCACCGCCACCAAATTGCCCAGATCTTGCCAGAAGGCAAAGTGAGGAAACTGCTCCATGCCCTTTGCTCCTACTACAAGGCGCTGGTAGAGGAACCCACCAATGATGTAGACTGCAATCAGTGAAGCAAACCTGGTGAGCAGAATTAAAATTAGAGTGGAGGAAATCCTATAGACAACCTTTTCTGAGCCAGCTACCTGCCTCAGATTGGTATTGTAGCAAGTAGTTGAGCACCACTCAAGAACAGAGATATAAACAGAGACAAGACCAGAAAACATCCCCAAAAATATTGATCTGCTAGTACAGATCTTTCAGCAGCACTAC